CCCATGTTCGTATAACGACTCATTGAACCATAAAAAATAATTATATTTCGCGGCTAAATTGATAAACACTCCTTGTATAGAGTTGCATGGTTTTACTCTCGCCTCATTGCAGAAGGAATTGTTTTTTTCTGAGGTAGTTTCTTATCTTTATCTTATTTTTTCTTGGTATGCAGATTCACCTCAAACACCAGTGTCAACACGTAGCTCTTCAAGGTCACCAACAGATAATGTGACCAGTAATCCAAGGAAATCCCAAGATACCAAAATTTCAACCTCAGAAGCTGTTCCGCAACGAGTAACACGTAATACAGCACGGAAATCCATACAAAATCTTCCTGAAATTATTGTCATTTCTGACGGAGATGAGTAAATGAAATGGCATGCAATTATAGTATGTAATGTACTTCTGGAACACTGCCCTGGTCAATCATTCAGGATTTGAAATAAAGAGGGGGAAATTCAAAACACAACGAGAAATAGTTTGGGGGAGAGTATCCCAAGGATTTGGCATGAATCATGCAACCTCGCATCTTGAGATACAGATGGAAATCTTGTGTAACCTCAGAATGTCCAATAACGAATAAAAAGAATGAATCTTGAAGTTAGGAACATAATACGTGGTAGTGTTATCAATGAACTCTGCACAGCAAGCATAATCTCGTCATTTAGAAGGGATTTGAAAGTGGCTGTGCACATTTTTTGTTTGTTTAGACGGTAGGGATTTGAAAGTGGTTTAAATTCCAGACTAAATGGATTCACCTCTCGAATGAGTATATGCCTGGATCGATCATGTTTCTCACATGGACCATGTCACACATTCACAATTCACTAACCAGCTCTTGGTTCATGAACGGATTTTGTTAAAACTTGGTAAATACATTGAACATTGTTTTATTTTTCAAACTGGCTGACTGGCGGCCATTTTGTATTAATGAATGCAGCTTCAGTGCCAAGTCTTGGACATGTTCAGACACACATTCGTTTAAAAAAATCCATGTTATGTTGATACAAGGAGTGTTAGAATAGAAAATATAGACAAGAACGCATCCATTTGATTTGTTATTTATGAAGCTTAAACTTAAATTGAAATTTCTGATATAAATCATGCATAATGAGATAAACCAAATGTACAGACCAATTTGTTTTCAAAATTGTTTATGTGAAATATCAACTTCTATGGAACAGATTGCTATCAATTGTGTATCTTAAACAGTAGAACTGCTTGTAAATCAAGCAATGATGTCAAATTGTAGATTCTCTCTTAAAGCAGCGGAGTCGTCACCTGTACACGAGTCAGATGGCCATAGGGTGTCATTGTTTATAAACAAGCATCTACCCATGAGCCTTTGCATTTTTAGCGTGTGTTATCGCCGCTTGGGACTCGATTCCCGCGCGTGCGCAGGTGACGATCCTTCTGCTTTAAATCTTCATAATGACAGCTCAATCTGGGAATGAAGCTTGCACTTAGTATTTCATGCAATAACCTGTATTTTTTAATATACACATGTATATACTTTCCAGTGAATGAAAGTTTTGACCAGTTACTGCATATTATAAATCTCTGGACTGTATTATAAATAATTCAGAGCGAGGAGAACAAAAATAATGTACCATCCTTACAATCAATTTCCCTTAATAATAATAATTTATTGCAAAAAGTATGAAGGATTACATGGTATTTGGTTCTTCTACTGCCAATGTTGACAACAAATCAGTGGAACAATTCAGATTATTTAGTCATGACAATTGTATATACCGGTATTTATAGAACGATATCACCAGCTATTTTACTTGCCAAAAATAGTCACAAAAAAAGTGAAACGTGTGTGTAATGTACTCGCCAGAATCACCGGTTTGCGTACTGTTTGCATTTGTTTCTATAGATTTCACAGACACTTGTATAGGCCTGAATTTTTTATATAAACTATTTATACATGTTTTATAAATTTAAAATGACTGTTGAAAACCACTTCACCAATCATCAAGCTTTAGTGGTTGCATATGTAACATTCTTTGTGTAAATAGAAGGAAATCAGTCAATGATAGGAAAAAATCCAGAGACTCTCGGAGAATGGGTACTACCAAATGACAAATAAATGTTACGTAAATTTCCATGAAAAAAAATGTCATGCCTGTATGAAACTGAGATTCCGCTTGCATATTAAACTGTTGTAATGCTGCTTATATTGTTACTCGTGGGAAGTTATTCGGGGGGGGGGGGGGCTGTATTTATGCTGAAAACCAATGGTTTCATGCGTGACATTCTGACTTGTGTGGGTGTATAAAAACTCTGAAATATCGCTACCGTCAAGATACTTCAATATTGTGTTTACAGAACTGGCATATTTTACGATTATGATGGCCCCGCTGAGTAATTACATTTCACGCTAATAAGCAAGTTACTACACGTGCATTGTGAGATTGATTCATTTAATTTTGTTTCGTAACTTCAATTTTCTCATTTTTGTGAATATCTTGAAAATGGCTGGAATAATTGATGTGATATTCCTTTCTCATTATGCAAGCTAATAAGCTGCCAGTTTGAAATGTTTTGACATTATTAAAATTCATATCAATATTTTCCATCATGTCACCAATCATAGTTTTGGAATACATTTACAAATAAACAATTTCACTATAAAAATCAAATTTTGACATTTTTCCTGTGACATTTCAGACCACAATTATTTTGGTGTATGGGTGAGTGTCCTGATGGTGTAGTCATATTAGTAAAAGAATAGTGGACTTGACATTTAGTATTAAATTTTGCCTCACATCTGCACCTTTATCTCAGACATGCAAAGACTGATTATGTTCAAACTTCATGCATTCATTGTCACCTGTGCGTTTCACAATCAAATTCAAGATGGCTGAAGAGGAGCCATTTAAAAGCTGCATCAAGTGTGGTAAATACACTACCAACAAGTGCAACTTTATGAACAAAACATATTAAATACTTTTGTGTAAATAATCTTAACGGTATTTTTTTTAAACTTACTTTGTTTCTTATTACAGAAATGGTTGTATTTTTCAGTTTTCTCGCTATTTGCTTGCTTTATGAAATTTGGTAAATTGCAAATCACAAGGGCAGCCAGCTATATTTGTACAATTCACCTATGCCTTGTGTACTTATAAACAATGCCTGTAAGATATTTTGTTTACATTCAAAAGCCAATGGGTGTATTACTCGTGTGAAGTTCAAGATGAAAATTTTATACTGTATTTCCATGCTTTGCTTATTGGCTTAATTAAAGTAAATCTCTTGATAATAAACGTACTATTTACCTCTATTGTATTTTCATAATTTACCATTGACTAATATTTTTTAAGTGGCAAAGAAATCGGAGCAAAATACATGTACAAATTGAATCTTCAGCATTTTACTTGCTACACCACAAACGGCAATAACGGGGTAGAGGATTTACAAAAAAAAAATGACTCTCCCACAATGTTGCATTCACTTCTGAAAGAAAATACTTTGTTCATAGACCAGTTGAAATGCTGTAATCTCAAATTCAACCAATCAAATGAACTGGGCATTAGTAGAGTGTTGTATGGATTCTAGGTGTTAGTTGAATGTTGTATTGTGAGTGGAACACCGCATGGATTCTAGGTGTTACTTGAATGTTGTATTGTGAGTGGAACACCGCATGGATTCTAAGTGTTCAGTTG